ACCAATCTCTCAACACCCTCTACTCCAGCAGCTGCAGAGGACCATGGCCCTCTAATGCATGCTCTGATTCCCAGGCCTGAGCTACCCCACTACCCTCTTAGCCGAAGACTTCTCTCCCTCTCCACTGCAAGCTGGACTGAGAAGACTAGCCCCACCCCTTTCTGAGGCCAAGAGATTCTGTGGGAACACTCACCTCCTCACTTCCTGCCCCACATATATCTTGGATGGAGATCTGGTTCCACAAGCAGCAATCAAGATGCAGCCAGGATCTCAGGGTGAGAGGAAGTGGGAGAAGATGCTACAAGTGCTGGAGCTGGTGAGCTTGTCAGAGGGACAGCTGAGCTCCACTGCAGCATCTCCTTTTTTTTTTAATTTTTTTGACATCAGTTATTTTATTTTAAAGAAAAAAAAATAAAAACAATGGTAAAAAAATCTCAAAACAAGATTTTAGGAGAGTAACAATGGTTAGTACATTGTGTATTGTTACTGCCAAAGTAGTTTCTCATATTACAAGATATAGGCAAAAAATAATAAATAAACAACATAGGTACAACCCTTTTTTTAAAGTCAACAGAAAATGGAAATATACTTTTTAAAGTTTCTAATACTAGGAGAAGATATCATACAATGTCTTTTAAATAAATTGTAAGTCAAAGATACAGTATAAATCTTAGAACAAAAATTAAGATTAAGCAATATTCAGAAAATTAAATGTTTCAAAACAACTGAACTAAGAAAAAGTTTTCATGATAGCAAAGAAGTACTAAGAGTAAAACATAAGATAAATACTGGAATGGCAAGTAAATGACCAGCACTTCTAACAGTTTGAGGATAGGATATCGCACAAAATTCTAGTGTATTGTGGACATGCATAATGACCGTGACAGTTACTGGTGGCTAGGCGTCACTTGTGTAAGTGAGCTACAGCTATTTCTTTGAAATCCACCCTGTAGACTCAGGTGGAATCATGACTCATCAAGTGGAAGAGAAGTCCATTTGTAGGGTGTGCTGATGAAAATATTCTGCTGCTGAACACAAAAGAATAACTGAAAGACTACTATTGTATACCTCTTATTCTCCTTTGTTTAATTGTTTGCCCTATTTGGCAGGTTCTTTCCATTCTCATTCATGGGCTATGATCAATTTGCTCCCTCTCTAGAACATCATTTAGTAGTCTGTGTAGGCTTGGCTTTGTCATCATGAAATTCTTTAGTTGTTCTTTGTCATGAAAATATTTCACTTCTCCATTATATTTGAAAGAGAGTTTTGCAGGATAGATCAGTCTGGGTTAGAATTTGTTTTCTTGCAAGACTTGAAGTACTTTGCTCCATGTTCTTCTTAACTTGATGGTTTGTAAAGAAAAATCTGCCGTTATTCTGATGGGTTTTCCTTTAAAAGTGATCTGTTTCTTTTCTTTAGCAGCTTTTAGTATACTGTTCCTATGCTGGATTTCTGGAATCTTGATTATTATGTGTCTGGGTGTGATTTTCATTGGATTGGTATTATTTGGAGTTCTATAACAGCATCTCCTTTTATCTTGCTCCACCTCAAAGATAGTCTCCTTCTTGGGGAAACAAAGGAGGGTGTGAGAGGAGGAAAACTTCTCCTTTCTCCAAGTATGCTGGGAGCAGCTGAGAGCTGGCAGGAAGGGAAGATGCTCAGAGATCTGAGTGGTTCATTTATGGCAACCTCACATTTAAAGATTTAAAGAGTGACTTTCTTGGGGGGGGTGTACACGCGCGCATGCATGTGCGTGCATGTGTGTGTGTGTATTCACTGACTCCATTTTATCTAATCTTCATATTGAATTTTGAAAATTATCCCTAAGACACATGAGAAAATTAAGGCTCAGGAAGATTATGTGATTTTTCCAAGGCCATACAGCTGACAACAGTTAGGATTAGTCCCAGGTCCCCATGATTTCCTTGGCCAAGGTGTTCTCTACTACACAGAGGTTCTGGAGCATGAGAAAGTATTTGAAGAGAAAACTCAGCAAAGATATTTTCATGTGTGCTGAAACCCACATCACTGGGTGCACTTTGTCTTTCTTCTCCCCCACCCCCAGGTTCTAGAAGAGGAGGGCCTGAGGATGTCTTCCACACATCCTTCTTCTTTTCTCCCACATCTTGTTCCTCATCAATTTCATGAATCAGCATTCATTTTTGTTCAAAGCCTTAAACCAAACAGCATCTCCTGCTGTGGTCTTTTCTGAGTCCAAGGAAGACATGAGGAGGAGGACCCAGGACCCATTATCTCCCACAGGTTCTCGGCACCTAAAAAAGAGACTTACAATACAAGTCCAGCTTCTGCTTCCTCTTTCCCAGGCTCATCCCCCAGCTATGCCTAATGCTGGCCCTGACCCTGACCCTGACCCTGACCCTGACCCTGACCCTAGCCCCCTGGGCAAAGTCTAGAAGGCAGAGGCTATGCTGGGAGTCTCCACATCATTTGAAATCACTGCTGGCAGAGCTACCAGGCAGCATTTAGAATCATATGGAAGCAGAGAGAGACCACAAAGGCCAACAGGAGGTGTCATCTCCTTTCATCACCTCAAGTCCAGAATCCATCAAGGTATGACAGGAGAGAACTCTGGAGGTAAACTCTTCCACTGTGAGGTGCAAGCGTGCCATGCTACTAGGGTGAAGTTTCCCTCCCTGTCAGGGTTTTCTTACTCGGATTCCTGAGGTCCTCACCAAACCCTGTTTTCAGGCTCAGCGCTCCTTATTTCCTTTTGGCCTACAAATGGAAATGCCCCTTTCTACCGCTAAGATCCGAGTCAGTCCACTTCACAGAGAACATGAGGAGATACAAAAAAGAAATCATTATAGAAACTATAAACAGCACAAAAGCCATGATGTTCAAAGTACAAGTTTCAGATTCTGAGAATTCCATTAAAAGCAGTAAAGCACTCATTGAATTCCACATTCCTTAATCTATGAAAATTCCAGGCCTGATCATGCGGTGTAACTCAACAGAGCCCCTGGCCTGCCCCATTCCCTCCAAGCTTGCCTGCCTCTGGCCACGTGCTCTCCCACAGCCAACTCAGGTGACTTGGTATCTCAGTCTATCTTTCTCTTTCACAAGTTAAATCCCAAACTTTCAAAATGAGAATTTATTTTTTAGGATTACCTTGACTAAGCTATAGCCCCATAACCACACACTCCCTCTTCGCTCTGAGAGGAAACTGCAACACTGTTGGAAGCAGTGAAACATTTTTAATGAACTTTAAGTTTTTGAGTTTCACCTACTATGACTTATGTCTAGATATCCCAGCCCCCCAAAGCCTCATGCAGTCATAGGTGGGGTTTTTTCAGAGGTGGCTACATCTTGAGTGCAAAATGCTGTGACTGAGGGTGTGTGGCTATTACAACGGTCTACTAAGGGGTTTGACACCACCCTATGCTCAGCAACTAGAGTACACAAAGGGCAGAAAGAAGCTTCTAAGGTCCCTTTTGCTACTTTCTGCCTGACACAAACTGTTTCTCCTCTGTGAGGCCTGTCTGCTGCACCACCCTGCTTTGGAGCCAGCAGACTATGGACTGAAATCTCTACAAACTGAGCTAAATAAACTTCGCCACCTTTTACTTTGAATGTTGGGTATTTTGTCTCAACCAGGAGAAAACTACTACGCCTAGTTAATCTTCATCAAAGGAGATCCTTCTTCCCCCAAGGCACACGCAGACAAATGAACAAATGGGCTTCCAAAACTCTTCTTTATGTGTACGAATTTCTTTCTACTCTGACCTTAGGATCCCACCAGAACAGTTAATTTGTCTTGGTGCTGGGCCAGAAGAATGCTGGGAGATGACCAAGGACACCAGCAAGGTATGCAAGTAAAAAATAACTAACGGCTGTTTTCAAGTTAACAATTGTAATCACAGGAATGAGGTTTGATTCCGTGACAACACCCTGTGGGAGAGGACAGGAATGACTCTCACTCTGGTGTCAAATTCCTACGAATTTGGTCGTCAGTTTAATTTATGACTGCTGGGACTTACTGGTAATTAAGGGAACTTATATAAATAATTTCAGGTTAAGACTAGTAAAAAGCTTGCCGACTAACGTAGCAGGGGAGGTCAGAGAAACAAAACGGAGGATTATGGGGATTAAACATCAGTATCAGAGCCAGGAGTGTAGCTTGGTGGTAGGGCACTTGCCTAAAATGAAGGAGGAGGGGAGTTCGACCTCCAACACCGCAAATAAAACGTGCAAGGGAAAAGAAAAAACAGAGAGCGAGCGAGCGAGAGAGAGAGCGAGAGAGAGGGAGGGAGGCAGGGAGGCAGGGAGGCAGGGAGGCAGGGAGGCAGGGAGGCAGGGAGAGGGAGGAAAGCAATCCATCCATCCAGCCAGCCAGCCCGCTAGCCAGCCAGCAAGCCAGCCGTAGGCTGGGTCTTCGCGCCTTTGGGGCTTGACTCACTGGGGTTGCCGTCGTTGCTTTGGGATACCAGAAGACGCCACATCCTGCGCGTCCTGTATCTATGGAAACAACAACATGGCGGCGCTGTGAGTTTAGAGCGTTGGTCAGAATTGCAGCAAGTAGCGAAAAAAAGTGTTCGTCTTGGCAAAGCGCCTCCTGTGGGACGGACGTCGTGGCCTGGAGTACCCTCCATCTTCTCACAGAGCCCCGTGGGACTGCGACTCTGATCAGACCGGAGATCCTGAAAACAAAGGAAGAAATAAGTATATTTTGTTTCCTTCATTTTACCTGTTTATTTCTCAGCTCTACATGACTACCTACCACTTGTTTACTGCTTATCTTGGGAATTTTTAAGGTTGGATATTATACAAATAAAGGAATCTAATGATGTATTTTTCTAAATCTTTAAGATTAGAAAATTGGCAGAGAGAGAGAGAGAGAGAGAGAGAGAGAGAGAGAGAGAGAGAGAGATTACCTCCTGGTCTCTTTATCATGATTTGGAAGTGTGAAAGTTATGATTATTAATTATAGCAATACAGGTTTGTTTAATGCTTCGTCAGATCCCCTATTTCATTCAAACTTCATGTAACTGAAATAATAGGAGAACCCTCATTTGACAGGGGAAGAGACTGAGGCGCACGAGAGGAAGATACTTGTCTATCCGGAGAGTCAGGAGAGAAACTCCAGCTTTCTTCCTTTGCCCTGGGGCTCCCTAAGCCTGGGCTCCACTGCCAGGGCAGAGAAAGTCAGAGAACCAAACCAAGCAGTGTGGGATGAAACATGGAGCCTGCTGCGCCATCATCTCACGTCTCTTCTGTGCAATTTCTGGGATAATTTTATGTGTTGACTGGAGACTCTTTTCAGAACCCTAAGGTGTGAGCTTTCTGTAGAATCCCCTGAAGTCAAAGAGTAGGGACAGGACTGCAAAGCCACTGATGGGAGAAAACTGAAATAGGACTCTGCTCCCGGCCTCCCCAGCTTGTGTTTCTTGGATTCCATCTAAACATCCACTTTACAGCTGAAGGTAAGAACTCTGCCTGTCTGCTCCTGTGTGTAGCACAGTGCCTGCTACATGGTAGGCACTCAATAAATGCTTTGTGGATAACTTGAGTGAGGAGATCTAAGATCAACCCCCCCAGTGGGTTTGGAGGGCCCAATAGCAGCAACTGAGTCAACAGACTCTTGTTCTAGATTGCAAGGGAGGAAATGGGAGTGTTTGCAGGAAGTGTATAAATCCTAAAGGGGATCATAAAATTGCTTATTAAATCTGAATACATTATAATAAGGGATGGAATCACAAATTTAAAAAGGGAGAATTTTAGGATTTAAAAAAGGCAAGTCACATATAATCACAAACTTTTGTAGGGATTACAACACTTGTGAAGACTTTACAATGCTGTGTGGTACGTAAGTTGTCTGCACATATCAGTAGAATTTGATACTACTTTTGAGATTTTTATTTGAAGAAGAAAGGATATTGAGTAGTCTTGGTAGTACTGACTAGTCTGAAAACTATACAAAAGTTCAAGATAGTTGTCCAATGTGGTAGCCACTGGCCAAATGTAGCTACTGAGCATTTGAAATATGGACTGTCTCAATTGAGATGGGTTATATGTATAAATGCATACTGTTTCAAAGCTTTAGTACAAGAGAGAATGTAATATATCCCAATAATCTTATGCCATTTCATATCGACTATAAAGGGAAATTAGAACTATTTTGAGGAAGTCAGCCCAGAGGTCTGCAAATTATTTCCATGTGTCCCTGAGCAGAGCTGGCCACAGACTGAGTGTGGAAATTGCTATGCTCTTCTATAAGCTATAAATTCACACATGGGTGGGGCCCGGGAGATGGCTCAGTAGAATAAGTGCTTGCCTGGCAAGCGCAAGGGTCTGAGTTCAATCCCCGGTTCTGCAAAAAAAAAAAAAAAATCACACATGGGTATGCAGCTAAAGGAACAGGAGCCATTAGTTGTAGATACTTTGTGTCCTTTCTATATAAATATTTTTAGATGGGGTCTTGCTGTGTAATTCAGGCTTGCCTTAAGCTTGTAGTGATCTTCCTGTCTCAGCCTTTCTAATGCTGAGATTACAGGTGTAAGTTGCAGTGCCTGGCTTTTGTGTCCTTATAGCAAAGTTGAACACCTTTGTGGACATTTGGTGAAAGACCATTTCGAACATACGTATAGCGTGCTATCCATGCTATACTTGGCATGGAATACGCGCATATGTTTTTGTATAATTTTCAACTGTAGCCCATCCAGGGGCCTCTCTACTCAAGGTTTGTTTGTTGGTTGGTTGGTTGGTTTATTCATTCATTTTTGCAGAACTGGGGATCAAACCTAGAACCTTCACACTGAGCTACATTCCCCAGCCCTTTTTTGTATTTTTAATTTTGAAATAGGGTTTTGCTAAATCATTTAGTTGTCCAGTTGGGCTGGAACTTGAGAACCTTCTGCCTCAGCCTCTTAGAATATGGGGATTGCAGACATGTGCTACCACACCCAGCTCTGTTGATTTTTTTAATTGGTTCATTTTTTATTGAATGTTTATTTTAAACTTGTACTACAGGGTGTAGTTCTGGAAGAGGACCCAAGAAGACCCAAGAAACTGGTCTGGGAGGGGCATGGGAGGTGGGCCTTCTTGCAAACCCATGTTTTGTGTGCTTTGCCAGGGAGCTTCATGACTCACCACTTAGGAAAACCCTAGACCATGTGCCCAGTCTCATTTTTCATGTGTCACCATGTGCTTCTTGCCAGACCCAAGAAATAGGCCTTCTTCTCCATCTCAGTGATAGTCATGGTGAGGTTTCCCCATCACCTTCTCTTTTTCATGTCCTTCCTGGGCCCCCTGTGTGCTCTCAGTTTGACTCTCAGCCTGATTGGGCAGGAGCTCCTCACTTAGCTAGAGTGTACCTCTTGGATTCATGTTTCAGGTGCCCCTCACACCTGGGGAACCCCAGGCTCCATGATGAGGCCCACGGACAGCGGTCCCTATACTGGGGACTCCGGTGGATCGTGCCTGAGTGCCAGCACAGTGGCTGTTCCCACCATCGATGGCAGCAGCGTGGGCACGAGTGCTTGCAGCAGCAATTTCAGTGCCCAGGTGAGGACCTGGTTAGGGCAGTGGAACAGGGCGGGGCCAGGCAGGGCTTGTGGGTTGAGAATCTTAGGGAGCTGCCTCTCCCATCCATAGTGAGCACTAGATCCTGTATAGACGAAGCCTCAGGTAGACTGGAGTGCCAGCAGCAGCGAAAGTGCCACAAGGGTTCTAGGAGGCACAAGCTGGAGGCTAGGCTGGTAGCCAGTGTTTCCTCCTTAGAAAGTTCTTTTGGCCTCAACCCCTAGGGCTTTGTGTCTGACCAGTGTGTAGACATTGCTTACTTTTTGCAAAAGGTGTCATTCTGTAACAGTGCAGCCATCCAGGGGCTGACCATGCAGCATGACTTATGCTTGGAGCCGTGTGAGTCTGCGCTGTGTGGGTGGCATGTGCCTCCTTAGATGCAGTGGTCTTTGCATTCATTTGACCCTCTGTGGGATGAGGGGTCAGTGGAAGGCGCCTCACACTCCACCTGTGCCTACTGGGCCTGCTCACTCCCCTTTGGATTCATTCTGCCTTTGCCCCTCTGCTCCGAGCTGGCAGGTGGCTGGAAGGTGAGTGGAAGGGAGAAGCCAGGTATTTCTTGTTTTTTCTCTGCTTTTGATGATGCCTGTATCAGCAGCTGCATCTTCCTGGTGGCTCCGGTTCTTGCCAGGCCCCAGGACTTCATTAGCCTAGTGGCCTCTCTTCCCTTGCATGTGTTGGCTGATTCCACTTTGCTGCTCATAACTGTACATTAAATCCCTGTTTTAATCATCAGGGTGGTCTCTACTTGACCGATGCAGCAACTGGTATTTATAGTAAATTATCCACCCTCATCCATGCCACCTTTGCTGTATGGACAAGCAGGAAAGAATACATCATATTGGCAATCCAGTACTCTCTGTAAACATTGAAATTGAGACTAAAATGTCCAAGAGAGAAAGGATTGCTGGTCTTGTTCACCATTGTAGTTCTAGCACCTAACACAGAGACTGGTGCATAATAGTCACCAAATATTTGTGGAATGGATGACTGCATCCTTGTATCATATAACAATAGACAAGCAATACTTGGTCAAAGATGAAAGGGCAGTGAGCTGAGTGTCCATGGCATGGCCATGCCAAGAAGAAATACCTGGCTTATTCCTCCTCCACCTTCTGCCCTAGGGGGTCTCACCCTCTGTCCTTAGATATGCAGTGGGATAGAAAATATGGTGACTGTTTAATTATAAAATATTTATTACAGTAAAAGACACATTGCCATTACTCGCCCAAAATATTTCTCCTCGCTTCAAACACTTTCTGAAGCAGTTCTGGGTGTCTTCTTTCATGAGTGTCTTTAGCTACACTGTCACAGTTGTCTTGAGATCCTGAATCAGTTTAAAACATTGACCTTTCATGGTCATTTTAACTTTGGGGAAGAATCAGAAGTCACATGGCACCAGTCATATGAACAGGGTGGCTGGTAATGTTTTTACAAATCTGCCTTTCCCCTGGATGTCACTTGGCAGCAGCATTCACTGTATTTTTGATCACAGCTGGTAAAGATGTTTGTGAAGGAGGACTTCCAGAACTACTTCAGAAAGTCATAAGATATTTTTCTTTTTAAAACTTTATTTCAAAAAAAGAAAAGAGTGACCAAAAAAATGCAGTGTGTTAGAAGGGAGGTGTTTTGAAAAAGATTTATAGCAATGTGTTGGGTTTGTTTTTTTTTTTTTTTCACTGAAATAGATTTTTTTTTACAAATTTGAACATTCACACTTCCTTCTTTTCTTTTCTTTTCTCTTTCTTTCTTTCTTTCCCTTTTTCTTTCTTTTTGTGGTACCTGGGATTGAACTCAGGACCTTGCACTTGCCTGGCAAGCGCTTATGCCACTGAGCTATCTCCCCAGCCCCTGCTGCACACTTTTTATCATACCACATAGATAGGTGTTGTGGACCAGCCAATCAGGAAGACCTTGTCTGTTACAGGCAGGGAAACACTGGCACACTGCATCTCTGGCATTGCCAGGATCAGCACCCAGAGGTGCCCCAGAAGGGCATGGGTGGAGCTCAGTTGGGGCATATCTGATCCTTCCTCAGTGAAGGATGGGAGAGGAGCCCATCCTATGATCTGGGGAAGTCCTGGGATGGATCATTGAAGCTGGGAGAGGTTTCTGCAGTGAGGAGCAGGATAAGGAGGAGGGAGAAGAGAAAGAAGAAGAGGAGGAAAAGGAGGAGGAGGAAGAAGAAGAGGAGGAGGAGGAAGAGATAGTGGCCCAGAAGGAAAGGTATCTGAGGGTACACAAGGAACAGAACCAACCAGTGAAGGCTGCATGTGTGTGCTGAACAGAGCTGGCTGGATGGGTGGCCCTTCAGTGGCCAGGGCTGTGATAGGCAAATCATTTCAGTAAGCTTGGAAGAAGCAATATCTGACTCCAGGGTTTGCCTGCTCCCCACCCTCTGTCCCCAGGGGAAATCCCAAGTGTGAGGGGTGTCATCATTCATACTTGCTGGAGGCAGGGAGGTCATGGTCATTCTCTGGGTCTGTGTCCTGCTCTGCTCACAAAAACCTTCCTTTTCCTCTTTGCCTGCCACCCTGCCAGCCTGCCAGCCCCCTGGACACCCAGGTGTGCTCCTCTCGGAAGCAGGACAGAGTGAAGAAGAGGGTTTTCTGGGGCATCGAAGTAGCTGAGGAACTGCAGTGGAAAGGCTGGGAGCTGGGGAAAGAGACCTCGCGGAACCTGATTCTGAAAAACTGCACCTTGAAAATTCAGAAGATGAAGTATAGGTACCACATTGAGGGCCCCAGGGACCCAGCTGCCGAACTCTCCAGCCCCAAACAAGGCTCCCTTTAAAAATTACTTTTAAAATGTTACATAAAATCAGAAGAATGTTCAAAACTTGCACAGTTAGAAGGATTCTGCCAAGTGGGATTCAAGGGACCACATGAGGTCATGGAATGGTGACAGTGTGGTCCGCAGGTATGGGGCACCTGCTTTGGGCATGCCTTCTCCCCCATGCAGAGACCTACACTCTTCCTTTTGTGTGAATGATTTACCTTATCTCTCTCTCTCTCTTTCTGTCTCTCTGTCTCTCTCTCTCTGTCTCTCTGTCTCTGTCTCT